CGCCCCTTTCCAGTGCTACAAAATACAACCTTCGCTACACTCTCGTGTTTACCGGGCCAGCCACCGCACCCAAACGAATCGCCTTATATCAGAGGCAACAGCAGCAGCCCGTCATCACGATCCCCCTTCACCTCCTCGCCTGCGCACAGCCCGCGCCTTCCGTGTGGCACTGCTCTGGCGCACCTGCCTCGCCTCCCCTCCCTGCTGCTCCCCTTGCCGCCCTCCTTGCTGCTGTTTCTGCTGGCGCTGCCGGTGGTAGCACTGCCGGTGGTAACACTCCTGGTGGTAACGCGGCGGGTAGAGACACTGCAAGTGGCATCACTGTGAGCGGTACCAGTGGCATTGGTTTCTCTGCTGCGGTGGTGGGCGCTGGGAGCAGCAGCATGGGCGCGTTATCTCAAGCCAAGGCGTTCTACGCTGGTGAGCACAGTGGGGGTGGGGTGGGGTGAGGGGTGGAGAGTGGTGATAAACGGTGGCAAGGTGGAGGGAGTGTGTGAGGTAGGGTGTGGAGGGTTCGAGTAGGGAGGGAAGTAAGGATGGAAAATCAACCAATGCACTAAAGGAATATCATGTCTTTCCATGCCGCACTTCGTCCTGCACCCTACTACAACTCTCTGCACCCCTCAACACTCCTGCATACCTCGACTCAATCGTTGCAGTCCTCCCTTGCTCCGCCCCACCGTGGCAGCATCTGTGAAGAAGCTTGAGCTGAGCTCGTTGAAGTTCTCATTTCCCCATCCTCCTGCCTTTCCTTCTCCCCTCGCTCACTAACCCGACACCCCTCAGCACGCCACCCCTCACCCCGCCAAGAGGCACACTGGTGGTGTCCACTTGTGAGGACCCTCAGAACCGCCTTCTCTTTGCCCTCCCGTGCACCCCGCCAGTCCCCTCGGCGCTCACGCCGGTGCTCTACCCCACTGCGGCCGCCCAGCTGGGCGGAGCAGCCAAGGGAGGCGCCACTGTCTCTGTCTCCTCCACGTGAGTGCGTGTGTCATCTACGTACACATGAGAGTGTGTTATCACCATGCCCGTGTCCTCCACGTGAACAGCACCAGCACTATTGTGCCACTCTAGCACGTCGCTGTGTCTCTGTCCAATTCGCCTGGAAGCGACACACTCACCAACTACAGCATCGCCAACCCCTCATATGAACCCCTCCATTATCTCGCATCATCTCCCCCGATGGGTGGCAGCAACACCCCACAAATCCTCTCGGTCCTCTCTTGCTAGCTACCAAGTTCAAGATCTTCTTAATTCTTACCTGCCTCTTCCTGGCTTCGCAACACTACCCTTACCACTGCGTTGATCGTCTACCCCTCTTGACCTATCTGTACTCCTCCCCCCCCTGTCCCCTTCTTCGCAGCAATGCTCTCGCCAAGATCAACTACCTCATCATCGTACTCAACCCCACTCAACCCCTCCGGTTGGTCAAGGTCTCCCTCTCACCCCCCTCCTCCGCCTCTCCCTCCACCTCCTCCTCCACCTCCTCCACCTCCTCCTCCACCTCCTCCACCTCCCCTCTCTCCCTCGCCTGCACGTGGGTCGCCCCACTCCCCTCGGTGTGGGTCTGCCGAGGAACAGCCATGGCGGCGCAGGTCTCCCCAGCAGCCAAGGCGGTGGCAGCGCTGCCAGCACTGCCTGCAGGGGCGAGGAGTGCATGTGTGGTTGGAGTGAGTGTGGGAGGGGGGGTCGCTGCAACCCAAGCGGCACAGGGGGCGTTGGTGCGAGTGGACTTTTGAGACAACTCAAACGTCGCTGCGATGCGACCCCAGCAGCACAGGGGGCGTTAATGCGAATGGTGGAGCATGTCCGGTGAGATAATGGTCGCGCTGCTGCCTGGCTCTGGATTTTTTTGAGCTGCTAGGACTGCTGCCAACAAGCGTTTCAAAAAGCTCTGCTGGATCCTGTTGGCACCTGGTGAATGCATTCAAGCATATGAAAGCTGAAGCTGATTTTTTCAGCTCTGCATTGGTGTAGGCAATGTGTGTGCTAAATGCATGGACGAACTTAGCGAGAAATAAAGGCTGATATGCAGGACTCGTCCGCTAATGTGGTTATAGTGGCGTCATCTCAAGTATTTCATCTTATTGGGAGAATGACAACATGCATCTGGGTGGGGTTGCGGGTGGGAACGAGCAGAAACAGTGAGGTTATCGTCTTTGTTGATCCACGCTACCCAACCCAGTCACTGAAAATTTCCAATTGCATACAAGCGATCTGCGTTTGAGAATTCTCAAAAACCAGCTCCTTGCATACAAGCGATCTGCGTTAAAGCCCGCGTCCCAAATTGCGGGCCGCGAGGGTCAAGTTTTTAAAACTTGCAAGCTTTTGAAAGTCATGCACTTGCAATTTGGGACTTCCGAAGACAGATTTACTCACCAGGGGGAAAACCGAGGGTTGGCTGGGTCTCGCGAAAAAAACGAACCTAGACGAAATCGGAAACTCTCGCCAAAGCCCACACCAGAAAAACTCCCTCTGGTCAACTTTTAAAAGCATGAACAATTTGGGCCGCCGGCTTTAAGGTGCCATCCAACGTACTCAATATTGAGGTGTCGCAATCGTTTGAGACACATCTGTTTCAGACTCGAGCTCGCAAAGAAAGTACCAAAACGATGAGAGCGGGGAGGAAGGGATAAGAGCGGGGAGGAAGGGATGAGAGTGGAAAAGAACGGATGAGAGCGGGGAGGAAACGATGAGAGTGGAAAAGAACGGCTGAGAGCGGGGAGGAAACGATGAGAGTGGAAAAGAACGGCTGAGAGCGGGGAGGAAGGGAACAAAAGCGGGAAGGAAGGGATGAGAGAGGAAAAGAACGGATGGGAGCGGGGAGGAAGGGAAAAAAAGCGGGGAGGAACGGATGAGAGCGGGGCGGAAGGGATGAGAGCGGGGCGGAAGGGATGAGAGCGGGGCGGAAGGGATGAGGGCGGGGCGGAAGGGATGAGAGCGGGGCGGAAGGGATGAGAGCGGGGCGGAAGGGATGAGAGCGGGGCGGAAGGGATGAGAGCGGGGAGGAAGGGACTGAAAGCAGGGAGGAAGGTTATAAGAGCGGGGAGGAAGGGAATGAAAGCGGGGAGGAAGGGAATGAGAGCGGACGACACAGGGGAGAGAGGACGAGAGGAGGGAGAGAGGAGCGCAAACAGGGGTGGAATGAAGCGTGCGACGTGGGCGGTGGGGGGTGCGACGCGGGCGAAATGGGTGACGTGTGTACCCCACTCATGGCCATTTTGAGGCGAGGTGGCGGCGAGGGGGCGACACAGCCAGGACGCGACGCGGCGCGGAGGGTGTTTTGGCGAGGAGACGAAGGGGTGACGAGGCTGCGATTATATGCTGCGAGGATGGAGGCGGGCCGATCAGCGGATTTCCCGGCGAGGCCGCCACGATGTGGCTCATCGCCTGCGGCCTGGCATACTAGTGGCGGGCGGCGGCATTGCTCTAAGGTAGTAGATGACAAAAACTACCGATGGAACCCTAGTGTGCGATTATATGAGGAGGGTTGCGGGGATCGTGCCTAAACCCGTAGTTTCTTTGCGTGTGATAGCTACTAGAGAACCTTGTTAGTGCGCTGCGCTCGAAACGGAGATTTGGCTTACCTTTACGCACTGGTATTCCCGCCCTTCCGCCAGTTGTTCCCCAACCCTTCACCCTGACGAATTTGGATGGATTCGCCTACACATTCCAACTTCATCTATAAAGGAAAGGGCACTTCGCACCCAATCAGCGCGCGGTAAAACTCTGTTTCCGTAACTTGTTGATATCAGCAGCCGGACATGCTTGTTACGTGACACTTGACTGCCTGCTGATGTCAGCAGGCTCCACGCTGTTCCCGAACCAGAACAATAGTCCAAACAGGGTGGTGTGGTGTGGTGGGTGTGGAAACACCAATGGGCGCCTTGCAGGGCTGTGTGATTGAAGGCTTGGACATTTGGGTTTGGGGCCCGAAACCCGAGTTAGCGCAATCGTGCGAACGTGGTTACCAGCTATGGTTCTTGCAGCTTTGGCCACAAATGCTCACACCCAGAGTCGATGAGGTAACCAGCGTTTTCACGAATCCACCATGCGAGCCTCGCAAACTGGTTATGTTTTCACGCCCAAGAGCCGCAACATCCAAGCGATCCAACCACCGCAAGAAGCCCTCCTTGGCCTGGCCTGAGCTGACAATTCTTTACCTCGGCTTCACGCACAGCAATAATGGTCAGTGGAATGGAATAATGGTGGCCGTCTTTTTGAATGGAAGAATATCCTGACAGCCACAACGGAGCTTCTCCCACGAGGCGCACGTGGCTGCGATCGATTGGTCCAGTGAGCCAGGAGGAAATTTTTATTGCATCCCGATAGAGTCTATCTGTCCGCGCCCCGCCTCGCCATCTGCTGGCATGTTCTTCCGCCATGAAGAATTTCTCTATTGCATCCCACGATAGAGTTTCTCTGCCCGCGCTTCCCGCCGCGCCATCATCTGCTAGCATGTTCTTCCGCGCCTCCCATAATTATGCTCCCTATCAGTCCCTCGCGCCAACTCACTCATTAGTACAAAGGATCGTGAGAGGAGGGACTGATAATTATTACGAGCACTTCCAGCTTCGGTTTAGAGCAGCCAGCGCCTGTGCAGCTTTTCTCTCTAGTAGTCTACTCTTCCTCGGGTGTTCCCCCCTCCAGCCATGGCTCGCCAGACCCCTCCGTCGCTCACCATGCTGGTTTCCGCCATGATCTTCGTCTCGTCGGCTGCTGCTGCCGCTTACTCTGCCTCTCCCTCAACCGCCGCCGCCAGCAACAAATACGCTCTCGTCTCGGCGACAAACAGCCTTCTATTCGGCAATGGATACTCGGTGACGTGGGGTCCCGCGGGAATCACCTCCGCCGTCGACTCCCATGGCGCGCCTCTCAAATTCGTCAACAACCCTGACGGATCCGTCACTGTTGATAAGGTATACACCGCCTACCCCAACGGCACGCTCACCGGTCCCGGCATTGTAATCGTCACCAGTGGGCCCACTGCGGGATTCAGCATGGGAAAGACGAGGTTCCTGGAGAACGGCACGATCGTGGACGCCTCGGGAAAGAAAGTTACGCCGACTCTTAATGCGGACGGGTCGTACACAGCAGGGGACCTGAAAGGGTGGAGCAACGGCACCATTGTTGGCCCCACTGGCGCATCGATCTATCTCGGCGCACCGCTCGCGCTCACCCCTGACGGCTCCGTTGGTTTTGTTGCCCCCAGCAGCAGCTACTCCTACAACTCGACCACCAACAGCCTGACGTTCGGCAATAATTACACGGTGACGTGGAGTGAGACAGGATTCACCTCCGCCGTCGACTCGACGGGCGCGACTCTCAAAGGCTTCAAAAACCCCGCCGACGGTTCCGTCACTGTTGATGGCGCGTACACTGCCTACACCAACGGCACGCTCATTGGTCCTGGCATTGTTGTGGTCGTGAATGGACCGACTGCTGGGTTCAGCATGGGAAAGACGACCCTCCTGAAGAACGGCACGATCGTGGGCGCCTCGGGAAAACCAGTTGTGCCGACTGCCAATGCGGACGGGTCGTACACTGCAGGGGACCTGAAAGGGTGGAGCAACGGCACCATTTCTGGCCCCACAGGCGCATCGATCTATCTCGGCGCACCGCTCACGCTCAACCCTAATGGCACCGTTACTTTCGCCAGCAACGGTGGCGCTAGTGGCAGTGCTCCTTCTGCTGCTGCTCCTCCCTCTGCTGCTCCTTCTTCTGCTGCTCCTTCTCCCTCTGCTGCTCCTTCTCCTTCTGCTGCTCCTTCTTCTGCTGCTCCTTCTCCTTCTGCTGCTCCTTCTTCTGCTGCTCCTTCTTCTGCTGCTCCTTCTTCTGCTGCTCCGGCTCCTCCTCCTTCTCCTTCCCCTTCCGCTTCTCCGGCTACTCCTTCCCCACCCAAGGCTGCAGGTAGCTTGTTCCTTCTTCTCCTGCTCCTTCTACTTCTGCGCCCTTTACTGCTGTGCCATCCGTTCTTCCGCTTTCTGTTGCCCCTCTTTGCAATCTTCATGGTACCTCACCATGTATCCCCCCTTCACATTTCCACACCTCTTCATTCTGATTCCCTCTTTTCATTATACCCTTATTTACTAGAGCGGGTTTTTAGTTCTGCCCTCATTCTTATTGTCTTGTTGCCACCCTCACAATGGCAGGTTTGCTTGCTACACCGGTCACTGCTCTCACTGCTGTCATCACTCTGATGCTTGGCACAATCCTATTCGTGTAATGTGCCTGCTCACGGTCAGTCTAGGCACAAGTGACAGTGATTCTAGTGTGCAGTGCACTCTAGGGTTTAGGCATCAGGATAGAATTTGGATAGGTTAACATGGATTGGCCTTTCTGTAAGGGTAAAAAATAAATCCCGCGTGAAAATTAGTGTCCTCTTAGAAACCTCTTGTTCTGATCAGTGTAAATCGTCAAGTTACCCTTTTTTTGGTACATACCAATGTAAATCACAAATTAAATTAAAATCAATTACCGTATCACATCATTTCACTAGCTGGTAGATGCATCGCTCGCAAATGCTAACAGGAAAACTTTGATGCTAGGCGTCGCTTCGTGATAGCTTGGAACAGGGTTACCACTTGAGGCCAGTTCACATCTTCGGTTGGCAGAAGTGAACAAGTCATGAATGACGTCGCACGGCCATGCATCGCCAAGGCACGTCCTGCTTGAGGCAGGGCCCAAAATTGGTTTTGGGGGACCCTGCCATATCAGGGTCCCCGAGAGCCCTTTGCCTGACATTCAGGGTGGAAATTTCTTTGCCCGGTGCTAATCAGTGTGTTTTGGCTAGTATTCCTGTCTTTGTAAGGCTATCTATAGAAACACCCTGTTTGCAAGAGAAAATCAAAATGCCACTACTGCTTCCCCTACATGCAACCATGCATAACCCACCATTAACAAAACATTGCATCACAGCTTCTCCTGGCCTGCACTCTGCTTTGCCGCCTGCACGCTACTCTTGCCTGCGCTGCAATCATGGCGACTCTAAATGTCCTCACTTTCGATCCTGTTACGATATGAAGTTTTGTGAGAAGGAATTCCTGTATGCCGCAGGAGCCGACTCTACCGAGTACGAAGTCGAAGAGTTAGAAGCAGGCCCTCAGATTCGTTTTTTGCCTGTCTGATTTGTCAGACTTAGTATACTGGGTTAGTCTGATTTGATCAGACTAGGTTTGAAACAAAGTCTGAAACTTCAGAGTGTCTTAAAAAAAATGTCTGAAGCAATTAGAGTTTACCCCAATGATTAGTCTGATTAAGTGTTGGTGAGTTGTATCTAGTGTTTTCAACTATATAAGGCTGGCCTACAAGTTAAACATACACCCTAGCACATAACAGAGTCATACTACTACGGTACTACCTAGCTTGCAGCTCTATATATCCTATCCTATCTACTCTAGTCTACTCATCATCAAATCCATCATCATCACCATCGAATGCATCATCATCATCCTGATCTATGTCTTCTACTTCCATCTCCTCCTCTGCCTCCTTGGCCCTGTTCTGTTGCTTTCCTGCAGGCGGGAGAGGAGCGTTGCTGTGGGGCTTGCGCTTCTTGTAGGCCCTCCAGATTGTCACGATCTCCTCCCAGTTGGGCTCGTAGTCCATGAGGCTCATGCACATGAGGTCGCCCAGCCGTGCATCCTTCAGCGACCCTCTCTTCCACGACTTGATAATGTTCTGCCTCGAAAACCCACGCTCGCACTCCACGGTGCTCAGCGGCAGGACAGCTACCGCCACCCACAGATGAACAAGGTTGGGGTAGTTGTCCCGCCAGTCCGGCGTCTTGAGCATGGCTGTGAGTCCCGCGTGGAAGCTGCGGTCGCCCTTGGTAGAGGCTGCAAGCACCGAGGTAAACATGCGCAGCTCCTTCTCTGCACAGTGCTTGTTGACTCCTGGCGGGATTGGGTAAACAGAATGGAATGAGTAAAAAAACACAAACAATGATAGAACATCTTTGAATGATTAATCAAACACATCGACTGCAGCATCACACAGTACACAAGCAGAGCAACGAAGCAGGACGATAAGGCTTACCTGGCACAATCTCCTCCGTCAGGTCGGCCTTGAACAAGGTGACCAGCGACTGTAGCCACTGAAGGCACCGCCGTTTCCTCTCGGCACGATCCAGAGGGTACTCGTCTGGCAGGAACAGCTTCACCCCGGACATCCCATCCAGGTCGCCTAGCCGATGCTCGAGCTGGTGAACAATCACCTCCGCGAACTCCGTGCAGAGTGCCACGCAGTCGTCATGGCTCCCGGGCCCTGCGAACTCCTCCAGCTCGTCCTCATGCACCGTGAACTTGAAGTATGCTGGACGGCCGTCCGAGTCAACGCCTTCAACTTTCACCTCCCGGTTTCCTCCTGGCCCATGGCGCGCGATGAAGGGGGACAGCCGCTCGCTCTCCCCGCCACCGAAGTTGTCGCCGCAATCAATGTAGCGGCTCTCGATGTGGGAGGTTGTGCGCTTGATCTGCGCATGCACGGCGGGATAGTCAAGCTGGACAGGAAACAAAAAAATCGGTAGTTAGTGGTTGATCAGGGTTAACAAACATGGACACACGTACAAGTGGCGACAAGCAACAATACATTAACAGACAACTATGGCCAACCTCACCTCCTTTTGCTGGAACACCCGGTTCAGGATGTTGAGCTGCTCCAGCACGTCAGCAATGAAGAAGAGAAGGAAATGGAACCTGTAACTAGTAACCAAAGCATAGAGGTTAGCGTCCCACTCCTTAAGCATCACAATGAGTGCCGGAAGCACCGCGACAAGCCTGAGCATTGCGTCGCCCCGCGAAAGCCACCGGACAGAATGAATGCCCTGGAGCTCAAGAGAGGTTGACGCAAAGACTTCATAAAGCCCCATGAACCGTTGATGCCAAGGGCCCGAACGGCCGAGATGCTCTGCCACGGTGCGAATCACCGAGTCAATGACATTGAACGCCGGAACCTTCTCGGCCGCCGTTTTGGCCGCGAGTGCCTCCCTGTACACAAGATGCAAACATCATTAGAACATCTGGAAAACAAACAATCGTAAAGACGCTAAAGAAGTAACAAATGAAAAACATATACATACATACACACATACCTGTGCGCGATACAGTGGGATGACACCAGATGGGGGATGCGCAGTCGGAGGCGTGTGGTGAGGCCGGATTTGCTGCCCATCATGACGTTGGCACCGTCGGTGCTGATCCTCGCTATGCGCTGAAGGTCGACCCCGACAGCCTGCAAGTGTGACAACAGAACACTGAGGAGGGAAGCTGCATCGGCCTTCTCCACGGTAAGAAGAGCCATGAACTCCGTGACAAGCTTGTTGTCACGGAGGAAAGAGATGAAGAGGATCAGGTGCTTCCCGCTGCACCTATATGTGCTCTCGTCAATAGCGATGCCGACGAAGGGCGACGCCAGCACGTGTTCCAGCTGGGTTGTCTGGAGCCATGTCGCAGTTGCTTGCGTCAACTCCCCGAAACCGTACCTACATGCACAAGGAAACAGTAAAATTAACCTTTGGACTAAACAAAATGAATCAAATAACTTCAGGCACTTGCACTCACGTGGTGTAGTAGGTGCCGTAGCCCTTCTTCGGGAAGCCAGGCACGCCTTTCTCCGCCAAATAACGCACAAGCTTCACCCACATCCCCATCGGCGCATCGGACCTGGTGATGAACAGCAGGGAGTCGAGAAGGGCGACGACGCGCGACTGCTCTCCGTCCATGGTGGCGCGATTCTGGTCGATCTGCGGCTGCCTCGCTCCGCACTCCTGCACAGCTGTTTGTCTTGCCATCGCCAGCTTGTGCTTAGCCGTGCCCGCGTGCTTACGGAACGACTGGGTCTGCAAGTCCGTGGCTCCTTTCCCGCGTCTCCCGCACTTGCCTCCGTCGCCAGCATAAGCTGCACACCCAGTACACTTGAAGGCAGGCAAGCCGGAAGAGGTTTTGGTGATTTGCAGCCATGGAAACCGCGTTTGCCACTGGCTCTTAAACTTGTCAATGGCATCATCGTACAGCCCTTCAATGAGCTCCTCCAGGTTTATGGTGAGGCGAGGTCGCGGACGTTCAGACGAGCATAGAGAATTGTTGACGTTTGCGGTCGAGGATGAAGGCCTGGCGAAGCTCAATGTCGCCTGCTTGAGCCGGACGGATCGTGCCGTGGTCTGAGCGGGATGTTGCGATGCCGAAACAACCGTTGGTTCCGCAGGTGTCTCTACCACAGGGTCGGGATTTGAGATCACGGGTGCCGGAGGTTCCTTCAAGGTGGGGATACAATCGGGCTCGGCGCGTGCAGCCTTCTCAAGAGCTAGGTGACTGAGCAAAAAATCCAAGCCTGTTAACGCAGGCTGCGAATCAGTGTCGTCGTCATCGGAGGTAGCGCGATAGTCAGGCTGAGCCATGGCGAAGAGTTTAGAGAGCTTGCCGAGCAGGTACGAGAGGTGGTTCTGAGGCTACTGCTGCAACGGGTGTTCTTGGCAACGTCAGCTTGCCATCACCTTTACGTGGGTTGCAACTGCTGCAGCGTTGTGGACATTGGTGGTGCGGGGGTTCGTGATGGCAGTCAAAAGATGCCTAACGGACCAATCCATGCTCAAACAGAGTGTGTGTTGGAGCTTACAGCATGGGAATCATCGCGCCGCAGGGCGGGGAAATCATCCAGCTGTACGAGGGAAACACCGCGCCTCAGGGCGGCGTCACCTAAAGAACTTGACAGTTGGCACAGATTTCGCGTGATTGACTGTACAGGTACAATGTACCACCGGTAATCCTGGGTGTCGGTGCACATGTAGTCACAATCAGAGTCGGTACTCGTTTGTCCTCTGAATTCCTCAGAGTACACTCCCGGGGAACTCTGAAATCTCAGAGTCCGCATATAAAGAAAATCTGATTTTTACAGAGTTGACGCCAAAAAAACTCTGAATTTCACAGAGTACACCAAAAAAAATCTGAAATCTCAGACTTTTCCAAACAAATCAGCCAAATTCTCTGACTTCTGAGGGCCTGGTTAGAAGAATCGAAGCAACACAGCAACCGTCTGACCAAGACCAATGCAGACAGAAACACTTGAAGTGAAAAGAGCGGGAACAGGTTTGAAACGGGTTCCCGCACCGCACGGTTTGAATTTCTCGCTACAATAAGGGAAGGTACCCCTTAGAGTACATGGCTAGCCTAGGTCCTTTCGTATTCCCCTGTGCTCTTATATAAACTAGATGTATGCATGCTTTTATCA